TTTTTTCCTTTAACGAGCTAGAACATCTCCCCATGTGTTGAGCATGTCCAGCCTTCTGAGGAGCTCAATGTTACCTTCTTGCAATACCAGCAATACTCATAATTTGGAGCATTGTTCGAAATTAACTGACCATCTATGACCACCCTTAATCCAGCCGATGAACACCTTTAAGTGACTCTGTCATGAGGGAGGCTGCCGTTGCCGGCTTCCTTCTAAAAATCCTTGTTGAATGGCATCAATACATTTTGAGTCCCATTTTTCAGACCAGAACATGCAAGCTGTAAAAACATTTCAGATAAAGTGTCCGAATTCCTCATCGCTTTACTAATTTCGGGTCATTGACTCAAAGTACTGAAGCTAAAGCAAAAGCATGACAGGAAAGTGAACTGCATTTTTAGGAATGGTCAGCCAGTGGCAACCTCCATGAGTTTCACATGATAGGTTTCTTACAAATAATGAATTCCCTGCTTGCCTTTTCCTGGAAATCATAGTGTTTGGGGTGGATTTGCAAATTTTTAATTGTATGTCTCTGATTAAGTTTTGGATGAACATTAGTGGAAATAATAAATCTCTTTCAGCTGCGTGCACCAATTATTTGTTTGTTTTGAGTTATTCATGTAGAAAGGATGACACCCACATCAGTTCAACTGGGAATTTAGGTGTGGAGATCGTGTTGCTGGGTTCATCAAAAATATAAGAAGCCAACATTTAATTCAATTTATCAGCAACCACCCAAAAATACAAATGTTTTTGGCTGCAGATGCCTTTCAATTAAAGTCAATTAATACTTTTAATCTATGTATATTTTTATGGAAACCTCTATTAATAACTTTTTGTAAAACTATCCAAGCTGCTCTCTTCTTTCAAGACAGCATGCAAAACTGTAGTGCTGCAATTCCTTTTTTATGCGGCAATTCAGTGCCAACATTATGCTTGTTTTATTTCTGCCTAGGCCTCTGTATGCCTGCGGTATCCAGACTATACATTATGCATGTTCATTAGAACACCCAACATAAATTTTGAATCTCTCCTAATTATCGCTTCCCATGTTTCAAACGAATCGTGAAAAGCATTGAAACGTCTCTTTAGTTGCTCAATGACGTTTAAGCATATGTTGTGTTCCTATTTCAGGAAGAGGAAGATGGCGAAGAGAACAGCCGGGTGGAACCTGTTGGTCATGCAGACACTGGCTTGGAACGAACCTCCAGCTTCTCCCTTGAGTAAGTAGTGAAGCCAATTCCCTTCTAAGGCTAAGGATTTCAGATTTTACATGTTTCCAAATACACAGCGGGTACAGAATAATCATTGTCCTGTTGAATGTGCCTATGCATTTGGTTAAAAAAAATGAAAGATTAACACCATTAGAGCTCTCCAAGGCCCTTGCACTTTAGATAGAAGTCATATTACATGAATCAGTGCAAGCATTACCAGATCAGATTATTATTTTGAATAAAATAGTATTTCTAGCTTTATTTGAATAACAAACTGCTTCAATCCAATTCTGTTTATATGTTCTAATGCCTTGGCAGTCTGGATCACATGGCTATCGGGCTGCCATAATTTAAACAATGCTCAGTTGGTACGAAGGGGCCCAAAGTGTGCCAAGAAAATATCCCCCACACCATTACACCACCATCAGCCTGAACTCTGGATACAAGGCAAGATGGACCCATGCTTTCATGTTTTCGCCAGATTCTGACCTGACCATCTGAATGTTGCAGTAGAAGTCAAGACTCCTCAAACCAGGCAACATGTTGTTCAAGTTTGGTGAGCCCTTGCAAATTGTAGACTCCGTTTCTATTTGTTAGCTGACAGGAGTGGCACCCAGTGTGGTCTTCGCTGCTGTAGCCCATCTGCTTCAAGATGCGATGTGTTGTGCGTTCAGAGATGCTATTCTGCATACCTCAAGTATAATGAGTGGTTGCCCGAGTTACTGTTGCCTTTCTATCAGCTTTTGCCAGTCTGGCTATTCTCCTCTGACCTCTGGTATCAACAAGGCATTTTCACCCAGAGAACGGCTCACTGGATATTTGCGCCTTTTCAGCCCATTCTCTATAAACTCTAGAGCTGGTTGTGTGTAAAAACCCCGGAATATCAACAGTTCCCGGAAATACTCAGACCAGCTAATCTGGCACCAACATTAATGCCACGTTCAAAGTCACTTAAATCCCCTTTCTTCCCCATTCTGAGGTTTAGTTTGAACTTCAGTAGGTCGTCTTGATCATGTAAACATGCTTAAATGCGTGTGATTGGCTTATTAGATATTTGTGTTACTGAGCAGTTGAACAGGTGTAACTAATAAAGTGGCCAGTGAGTGTAAATTGCGGAAAAGAAATAGTAAACATGGTGTTATACCCTAATATTGGTATCCAGTGTAGAACTGACCTATTACATTGGTGGTCATATGGGGGGGAGGGGGGTGGATCAGGCCTCAGGAATCCTGGCTGAGAAAGACTGGCTTAGAATATATAAGAACACATTTGCTTGGTGGTATTTTTGTTTTTCTTTAATTTCATTTATTGGTTAACTAAAAATGTCTTGTTTCTGCAGGAGCTATTTATGTATTTATTTTCATTTAAAAAGGTCTTAGAAAAAACCCAAACAAAACCCCCAATGTTATTCAGCACATTGATCCTTTATGTAGACATTACCTGTTGTCTTGTACTCATACTGAAGAATGAATGCACGGTGTGGTACTTCAGAAACATAACATTTTACTGTTAGAATTGATTTAGCTCTCTTATATCTTGTTCCTCTTTTTGCATGCGGTCAGGCTCATTTTGAGGTATGTAATATTGTCTTCCTCACCTCACAAACTTTGTTTGCTTTGCATGTTTCAGTGTGTATATGTAGAGACTGTTTCTTACTCATTAATTGCAGCCCTGTAACTGCTGAGTCTCATAAATATTTTGCATTACAGTGACATGGTGAAGCTGGTGGAAGTCTCCAATGATGGTGGACCTCTGGGCATCCATGTAGTGCCTTACAGCTCCCGTGGTGGAAGGTAATTTTCTTGGTTACATTGGCTGAAACGTCTTTTTTCTAGGTTTATAATGGCTGTAATTGTTTTTATTGCACCTTCTTTTAAAATCAATAGCCTATTTTTGGTGAAACATGATTGGGGTAATTTGAATAGAATGCAATGCTTACCACTTTAGACTTCCATGTCTGAAGCTATGAAGACCATTTCTTTATATCATTCCACTGGCAAATGTATGACACCTTTCTTGAATTCAATGGTGGATTCTCAAACGTAGGATACTAAAGTGTAAGCAATGAGGGAAGGAGATTTGGGAAACCTGTACTGAATGTTCTCATAGGGGCACAGCTGTCAATGCTTACCATTTATATGCCAACTGGCAAAGGTTACTGACCTCAGGGAAAGGAAAAATTAGTAGTTTAGGCTTTGTTTAAATTAATTGTGCTGAAAAATGTATGTGCTTCTAGAAAATGATGGCACATGGGTTTTTGAGATTTTTCATTTAGCAGTCATTTGACCTAATTCAGCCCGACATTTTGTTTTCATTTCGGTTTCGTTTGGGATATAGATATATATATATAGATCTAGATATAGATATAGATATATAGATCTATATATCTATATATATATATATACCATGTATACATTTTTCATCATGGTCTATTGCTACCTCTGAATATAATTTTTTTGGGTATCATTTTAGCTTTACCATGCACTAAAACTGTGTGCATAATTAGTGTGCTTGTGATTTTCACCATTCGATGATGCCAGCTAGTTTCAGGGGCAGTGAGGTATGCAGAGGCATCTAAGCCTAATATATCCATGGGTTTTGCAAAGGCCACTGCAAGTCCTGTTTCTGCAGAATTACCATATTTAATAATATTGTCCACATTTTCCTACACTACGAATGCAGAGGCTCCTTCTGGCTGTTGAGGTCAAACACACAGAAGGGTCTCTTTGGAAGAAGACAGTCCCTCGTATAGGTATACAAGTGAAGTTTTATTATTGCACTATTAACTCTTTAGAACAATTTTTTAGAGGTGAACCGAAATGAAAATTTTAAAACCCAACCGAAATGAAAACAAAATGTCGGGCTGAATACGAGAAAAAAAAAAATTCTAACTTTTTCAAGGTTTTAAAAATATTGTATTTTTTTTATAAACTTACAATTTTTATATTTTATTTATTTTTATGAAATGTTTTTAATTTTTACTTTACTTTTAGGTGCTTTGGGGAAATATTGGGGACCTAGTCCTCTTATATTTCCTTTTTTAAAATAGAAATTTTTTTCTCTTTTTCTGCAGCCCCTGTTATAAATGAACAGGAATCCTCTATACTGAGTGTTCCTGTTCATTCATAACTTGTGGATATAGTGTGTTTACTATAACCACAATCATGAATGAACATGAGGGGATGTAGATAACTTCCCATTCATTCATAATTCAGGCTACAATATACTATCATCTGTGACACTTTCTCTCCTCCATGCTGGGACACAGAGGAGCGCCCAGCAGGGAGGAAAGAAAACACGCATGCAAAGCTATATCGGCAGAAAAATTGCCATTTGCGGCCAATATATCGGTGCATCCCTACTATTTTTAGATATTTATCTGCCACTTAATGCAGAAAAAAAGTTTAATGGCAAGCTGACAGCAAAACCCTTTTTTTTTTGCTTTGGTCACCTGGCTAAATAAGACACACATTAGTCTTGTATCCTGGCACTACAGAAAATGGCTGCGTGCAGCTAAACAATTATTTGAAGTTTTAATAACCTTTATTTTAGCCCTTTTTGTCATTAGAACTAATTTATTGTCTGTTTCATCATCATAATCGAGATATTCAACAGATATATCATAAGAGAAGTTTCCATGTGTCAGATGTCAAATAGAGGGGAATTATGGGGGACAACTAGGATGCATAGATCTTCCCGCTGTATGACTGTATGTTGGCTTTGTTGCCGTTTGTGTTGAGCAGGAAGATGAATGCACATATTAAGTGAAATTACAACCATAAATTGCCTTTTAAAGACATAACATTCCAGTGAACTTTCCTAACAGCGGTTCTAGTTGGAGTTGATTAAAGGCGTATGACATTTATATTGGAAGCTCTAATTGTGCGCATTTTACACTTGATAAATAGTTGTTATGCCTCTAAAGTCTGTCTGTGAATAATAAATCAGTGGGCTCTTCTGGATTTTATGGTCAGGTAGTTTTGTAGGCCTAAATTGGATTAGCAGACTCAAGTATGGTGCAATGAAATGCAACCAGGTGGATCCCATTGTGTACTACAAAAAGTTAAATAAATGTACAAATCTTGTGCTTTAATGCTGAAAACTGTTATTTCTGAAATGTGAAGGATTTAAGATAAGCATATTGACTACCTAATAAAAGTTTTTAAGCCAAAAGTACTCAGTCGGCTTTTAATAGGGTTTGTTGTTAATTAACAATAGGTTACATTTCCTCTTTGCAGCTCTTATTAACTAATCCCAGTAGACTTTTCTTCTGTTCACTTCTGCCCTTCTCAGAGATTTACATTCATAAGAGGATTCATTTTACAATGTTGTGTCCCGGAACTGTGTTTGAAGGCGTTGATACCACTGAGGCTATTCTGATCTTCTGTCATATTAGGTTAGAATCACTCAGAAACTGTAATGAGCATCTTAGGTTTTAGGGCTGCTGGGGTAATCTGTACAGTCAAGATACGGGTGGAGGCTCCTACTGCATTTCTGATCATTCATTTCCTCAAATAGAGTTTCATTGGTTTGTTTGGCTTTAGGTTTGCCTTAAAGATTTTCCCGACAGTTTTGTCCCTTCTGTAATTTAATTGCATTACTTTTTGATCCTGCCAGTCGATCCATAGTGGTCCTACTGGAATATTAGGACATTGTTGTAAAAGGATAGGCTGTAGCAAGCAATAAATAAAAACAAATGTTATTATTATGGTCTTTTCTTGTGATGAGTGTAGTTTATGGTGCATTCCAGGATGTAAAATCATTCATTATGTGTATAAAGTTGAATGGGAATTATAATTTTAGTTTTTCCTAGTTTTTTTTTCCCCCTTAGTTATTCTTGCTTTAACTGTATTTTTCTAAATGGAAAAGGGAATATTGTAGTATCAGATTCTACAATACAAAACTAAATCTTGGAGGAAGGCTGATCTAAGAGAAATATGCAGGCAGGCATTTCCCCCTAGAAAGGTTAGTTGCCTGCCTGCTATGCTTCCCCTCTGACTTTAAAGCTGAATTCCAGTCCACTGCTGGTCGAGGGCTCTTAAGAGGAGTACGGAGGCAGGGGGCTGTGATGTTGTCATAAAGGTTTCCTGCCAGCCCTTCCCACCAGCCAAATATGTTGGTTTTTTTGGGGGGTGGAGGAATAAATACTATAGCAATGAATACAAAATATAAATAGATTAAACTCCAGTTTTAAGTCTTTTCAGAGTCACTGACAAGGGAACACACATTCAGATTAATTACAAGCCCTGTGCTCATTATGACTGTCTGCAAATTTGTGCCTGGTCAGTGGCTCAAACTGATTCAAGCCAGAGGAAGCCAGGCAAATGGCATTTACAGAAGGTCATCAATGTCATCCTATATACGACTCAGTACCAGCTTCGTTTAAACTTAAACTCCTCTATCCCCTTTACCTACATCATTTGTGGCATCAGTCATGTTTTTAATTTTTTTGCAAAGGGGTTGATCTGTGTTCTTCATTACTGTCACTTTGTTATCCTGGTGAAGCTACTCTTCTGAAGAATCCCCCATCATTCCCTTCATTAATCTGACCATCTGTAGTGAAATGGAATATAACACAAGGAAGTCTGCAATTTTTCAGAAACCAGATTAGATCTATATGCTTCACTAACTCTATCAAAAGTCAGTTTACTTTTCCTGGCTGCACGGCTTGTATCATTAGTGGATATGTAGAAAACAAATGCAGTGTTGTTTGAGCATCATCCACCCTTTTTCTTCAGAATTGGGGCAGTTTATAGCAATGTCAGTCTTGGGGTTTGATGTATTTGCCAGTGGTCTCTATCTCTTTTAAAATGTATCTATACTCAAAAAACAAAAATGTAATCTGTTGCAGCATACAAGGTGCTCTCTGATTGGATGAGGCGCAGTGACGTCACAATTTTTTCCTCATCCAATCAGACAACAACCTGCATTGACAAAAATACTAGACATTCTCTGAACAGCTGCTGTGCCGAGTAAGCGACCCCCAGTGTTTTCAGAGCAGATGGAAAGCCACTCAGTACATCACAGTACAGGACCCAGGAGATTGTGGCCAGCATTGTAGTAGATGCAGCTACTACAGTGCTCTGCCATGATCTGGTATGGCATATTCATTCTTACATTGGGCAACACTGGGCCGATGTTAGTATGAACAATAATCATACCTGCTGTTCAGCTTTAACAGCACTCCCTCTGTTGGTGAATCCGCCCCACTGTAGGCTGCAGTGTCTGGGAGGGGGAGCATGTGAGGCACAAATAGCGGGTACATTATTGTTAGGTTTACTTTTAAAGACTTGTGCATCACATAGTACCTGGATTTGGTAATTATATAGAAGCCTTTAGTTGGACTTTACGCAAGCCCAGGATTTGAGCAGTAACCACTCGGTTTCTTGTACCTAAGGTTGGTCAGGATTTGAGCAGTAACCACTCAGTTTCTTGTACCTAAGGTTGGTCAGGATTTGAGCAGTAACCACTCAGTTTCTTGTACCTAAGGTTGGTCAGGATTTGAGCAGTAACCACTCAGTTTCTTGTACCTAAGGTTGGTTGGAAGGTTACATACTCATGCAAATATGTGTTTATATATGAAGTATGAAGCAAAAAAGGATATTGCCTAGTGTCTCGGTTACAAGACAGCATTTACATTGTTGTTTTGATTGCTTTCACATTTTATTTTTGGTAAATCATAAAGATATTTGATTAACAATATTTTTGTAAAATAAAAAAAGTTATGTTTGAAAACAAATCTTTTGGAGGGGCTTATTTTACTTTTTGAAATTAATTTCGTAAAACATTAAAA